AGAAAGATAACAAAAGGACATTCAAACTCATAAGTCAAAAATAAACTGACAACGTCTTGGCCAAAAAAAAAAAGAAAAAGAACAAAAGACAAACAACTGTACAAAAACACAACATAGAAAACTAAAGACTGAGCAACACGAAACCAACCAAAAAATGGGGGTAATCTCAGGTGCTTCGGAGGGTAAGCAGATCCTGCTCTACATGTGACACCCATCGTTTTGCATGTAAATTGGATGAAATTCACTCACCAAATATTTCGTGTTGCTTACTCATCATACTCTTTGTAGTATTTTATCGATTGTTCCTCGTTTGTTCGTCTTTTCTTTTTTTTTTGCAATGGAGCTTGGTCTGTTTTCTTAATTACTTGCTGTTGAAACATTACACAATAAGGTGTCCAAAATCTCAATCAACTCTTTTATTATTCAAAATACGGACAAAAATCCCTTTGCCTAATTATAATAAATTTATGAATATTAAAATATAAATAGACGTTTTTGTTTAAACTATTTCTAATCGATTATAAGTGTCCCGAGATACCGGAACACTGCAAAGGTAAGGATCACAAGGCAAAGATAAAATGTGTTGATTATATTACATATAAATCGTTAGTTTACGTAACTAAGTGATTGAGGCATTCTACTTTTTCAAACCACTTGTGCATGATAATAGGGATGACGGTATTCTTTGTCTTTGCTGACGTGTGTTTGTTTCACTTTAATTTGGAAACCATATATGAAGCGCATATCGGATGTATTATCTGTCCATTCCAAATATAGTTCACACAGAATACAAATAGTGTAAAAAAAGTCCTTCTGTCAAAAGGACACTAAATCGTTGTGATTTTATTTAAAATAGGTGTAATATATAAAGTCAATGTTCTGCTGCAATTACAATTCTAATTCAAATGTCGTGTTGTATATGAATAACAGTAGATGTGTGATGTGTTTGTCAACGACACAGCGACCGACCAACATAACTGGACTAGAAGGACACATAAATGCTAACCTAGTATGCAAACATTTACCAAAAAACATAATGAACATATATGCCAACAAACAAAATACACTACGTTTTTATGACAGTTATAACTTAGGCCACGCCCATTTAATTCCTTGTTCGACGGACCCGCCCGCACAAGTCAACGTCAAATCGCGAACCTTTAAACTGTTTCGAGCATTAACATAGATTTCTTATCAAAATCAATGACGATTCTTCACAAATCTTAAAACAAAATTATCCATACCCGCTGCATTTTTATGCTTCTGTCCTAAGTCAGGAGCCTGTTTGTTCAGTAGTTGTCGTTTGTTGGTGTGGTTCATATGTGTTTCTCGTTTTATATATAGATTAGACCGTTGGTTTTCCAGTTTGAATTGTTTTACACTAGTCATTTTTGTGCCCTTTATAGCTTGCTGTTCGGTGTGAGCTCAGGCTCCGTGTTGAAGGCCGTACTTTGACCAATAATTGTTAACTTTAAATACATTGTGACTTGGATGGAGAGTTGTATCATTGGCACTCATAACACATCTTATTTATATGCAAAGTGCCAAAAAGACAAAGAACAACAAGAGTGCACACGCTGAAATGTCTCGCCTTCTTTACTAATCATTGATATTATGTTGATAGTCCTAAATATAAAGCTTTATTACAACTGTCACATAAACTTAACATTAACCAAGTAAACTAAACATTGACCAATGAACCATGAAAATGAGGTCAAGGTCAGATGAACCATGCTAGGCAGGCATGTACAGCTAACAATTCTTCCATACTACAAATTTAGCTGACCTATTGCTTATAGTTTAAGAAAAACAGACCAAAACACAAAAACTTAACACTAAGCAATGAACCTTGAAAATGAGGTCAAGGTCACATAAAACCTGCGTGACTGACATTTAGATCATAAAATATTTTCATACACCAAATATAGCTGAACTATTGCATATAGTATTAGAAAAACAGACCAAAACACAAAAACTAAACTTTGACCACTGAACCATGAAAATGAGGTCAAGGTCAGATGACACCTGCCAGCTAGACATGTACACCTTACAATCATTCCATACACCAAATATAGTAGACCTATTGCATACAATACAGGAAAAACAGACCAAAACACAAAGACTTAACCATAACCACTGAACCATGAAAATGAGGTCAAGGTCAGATGACACCTGCCAGCTAGACATGTACACCTTACAATCATTCCATACACCAAATATAGTAGACCTATTGCATACAGTATAAGAAAAACAGACCAAAACACAAAAACTTAACTATAACCACTGAACCATGAAAATGAGGTCAAGGTCAGATGACACCTGCCAGTTGGACATGTACACCTTACAGTCCTTCCATACACCGAATATACGAGACCTATTGCTTATAGTATATGAGATATGGACTTGACCACGAAAACTTAACCTTGTTCACTGATCCATGAAATGAGGTCGAGGTCAAATGAAAACTGTATGACGGTCATCAGGACCTTGTTAGGTACGCACATACCAAATTTAGTTATCCTATTACTTATAATAAGAGAGAATTTAACATTACAAAAAATCTTAACTTTTTTTTCAAGTAGTCACTGAACCATGAAAATGAGGTCAAGGACATTGGACATGTGACTGACTGAAACTTCGTAACATGAGGCATCCATATACAAAGTATGAAGCATCCAGTTCTTCCACCTTCTAAAATATAAAGCTTTTAAGAAGTTAGCTAACGCCGCCGCCGCCGCCGCCGTAGCCGCCGCCGGATCACTATCTCTATGTCGAGCTTTCTGCGACAAAAGTCGCAGGCTCGACAAAAATGAGAACACCAAAACGACGGAGACACAGACAACCAACATATAACACAAAAAACTAAAAAATACACAGCACGTACCCCTAAAAACTGGGGGTGAACTCAGGTGTTCCGGAAGGATGATCAGTTCCTGCTTTTGCAAGACACACGCCATTTTTCTAGTTATAAGTCATGTCCGGTGAAGGAGGAAAGACATGATGATGGGCATCTATGACAATTCAATGGAGATCATTTAAGGCAGTTGAAACAATTATTCAATTATTCAGTTCACGATCTGATGTCCTCATGAAGTAACAGTAATACAAGAAGTCATAAACATGCTGCAATTAAAAGTGGGGATTACATGTCTTGGTGAACAGGGAAAAAAACCACTTCAGCAGTTGATAAATTAAAGAAATGTCAAAGTACAAGTGGTAAATCAAGTTTCATACCATCTTGTTTTGATCAATATTGTTAGAACCTATGATTTTATCTTTACAAAAAAAAATATAATCGATCACCTTCACTTTTCAAGCTTAGCCTAAAAAATTTGCAAATTGATTTATTTTTATTAAAATTTTCAAATCGATCGCTCGCCCCAATTTCTGGAGTGGAAAAATCCGTAGAACAAGAAATTAAATTGGTGTGGCCCTAATTACAAGGCAAATACTGTCAGAATTAATGCAAAATTAGAAGAAAAAAATTTATTTATTTACATTTAGTATGTGATAAAAAAACAATAAAAACAAACACAAAAACAAAAAACAAAACGAATATGCAAACAAAAATTAAGTTTAAAGTAAAACTGGCAAGTAATTTTTGTTTTTTTACGCCAGACTCACGTTCCGTCTACAAAAAACTCTTTAGTGGCGTTCGAATCAAAAAGGTTAAAAGGTCAAAATCAAACAAAAAGTCAGAGACAATTGCAAAACCAGAAATTCTAAAAACTTGTGCCAAATACGACTAAGGCCATCTATGTCTGGGGGTAGAAAAGCCTAAGTGTTTAAATAAAAATAAAAATATATAAACAGAAAATTTGTAGAAAAATGACCATAACAATGATATTTCATGTCAAAACAAAGTGCTATAATCAATGTGCTGGTTATATCCACCCAAAACCCGTACACCAGCAGTGGCATCGACCCAGTGGTTGTAATGTAATAAGTGATCAAAACACGAGGCTTATAGTTCGTTACGCCAGACGCGCGTTTCGTCTGTAAATAAGACTCATCAAACAATAAACGATAAACAAATATGACAATCGGACACTAACGACAACCACAAACAAGCACATAAAGAATGTGGCCGGGTTAAACATATTTATGAGCGCCCCCCCTTTTCTCCCCTTACATGAGACAGTGGTGAAACAGCACACACACACCTCGTATTGGCAGATTACTTACTTGCATTTATAATTATGTATAATTATCATATCAATGTTTGTTATGAATACTAATTCGGACTAGACTTCCCTTTGGGCCCTCTTTCATGTATATCTATGCTTATTCTCTGCAATGCTTCATGTTTATAATGCTGATTTTTTGTTTAAATTTTACACCATGCAATGCTTTACTTGTAGTTTCGAATGACTTAATCCTGTTTATCTACTATGATAGTTTATCTAAACATAAACTGTCTGAATATCCTCATTCAGTCGAACAACTTGTCACGTAATTAATCAAACGTTAGTAAATTTTGCCTGAAAACTTAACACAACATGGTGTCAAATTTTCACTTAGAGCTTGATGAATTATCTTTTCAATTTTATCATCTATATGCTGACGCGGTGGCATTGAGCATAGAAAATGAACCATATTAAAACTAAATTTGTAAATTTAATTGAATATAAATCAATAAACATGCGCGTGAAACACATTTATTGTCTCTAATCAAAACACTACAATGTTACCGTCCAATTCCTTTATATTGAAATCTCTTTAGTATGTACCTATACATTGTAGGTGTCTATATTGTGACTATTTCAACATTGTACTAAAACGTAGGTGTTTTTAGGGATATTATGTATGCTATTCACGTAACCACTGCCTTTACCTTCATTCACATAAAAAGTAATTAGAAAATATAACAGAAATATGCGGTAAACAGAAAACTTAGACTGATTGCTTAGTTTTTCACATTGCATTATTCTACTATACATTGTAGAAAACGAATATCACAGCATCGTTTAACCTTTGAAAGGAGAAAAGATTCGACTTACCTATAACTTTGATCAGTCAATCGTTGGATCAAATTTTCTTCTCTTGAATACACATTTTAATATCCATTTTATCCAGAAAATTGTCCAGTGTTAATATTATGGTGTACACCTTCTCTCGTCATGTCACCAGTTTATCATTCTGGCGACATGTGCCCGCGGCTATTCCTTCTATACAACTGAAAAACACAAGAGGTATTACATATTCATAAAAATATGTAAATGAATGCATGATTTTAAGTAATAGTTTTTCAAATTACAAAATAATTCCTTTAAACGATGTGTTTCTGATCACAGATGTTTAATTTGTACACCGAGGCAGAAAAAATATATTTTGAATGGAAATACTCGGGCTATGAATTAATGACTTCTATGTATTTCCTTACGTAGGATATGAAATAGAGATACAAAAAAAAAGGTTGTCATGTGTATCACATTGCTGTGACGATTCTAAACGACTGTAATTATAATCCACAGAATATTATATAGCAGATAACCTCATAGTTTTAGCATTATACTATTCTGACTGCGTATTCGTTGCATCGAAGCTAACGCAATATAACATTATACGCACGATACTATTACATTTATTAAGAAGGCTTGTCAATGAGATTGAAGTAATTCTATATATGTTACTGAAAACGCGGTAAACAATTAAGGAAACAATGGTGAAAAGAACATTTGGCCTATCTTACACAAGCAAAGTAAATATTGAAATAACTGGATTGATTTTTGGTTGTATAGTTCAAAGATATGTAAACTGTACTTTGATCTTATTTAAAAAGTAAACGGAAAGACTGCTCAATAAGAGTTAGAAATGTATTTCATCAAATTGAACTAAGGTTTTAAAGTAATCAAATTAAGTTAGAAATGTATCTAAATTAAGTACCCAAACATGGAGATAATCATTCAAATAAACAATAAATGATAATATCACTTAATCCTGTGTCATAAGTACATTTATGACCAGTTCATTGCACTGAGACCTCATAGTCAACAGTCAAAAAGCCGATCGTTGGAAAGTTTAAAATAAAGGAAAGCTGTTAGTTCTCGTAAGGTTGGCATGCATGCAGAATAAATTGAAATTAGTTCTCATCTAACGACTTCTTCTTTTATCTTTTATACACAGAAGTCATAAATTCATAGCCCGAGTATTTCCATGCAAAATATATTTTTTTTTGCCTCGATGTATAATTTTAACATCTGTGATCAGAAACACATCGTATAATGGATGAAAGTTTATATTGTGTCATTGGTACATATATGAACAGTTCACAGCACTGAGACAGAAAACATAGTTCTGATTGTTACAAGGATTGGATATGCATATTGAACTGAATCATATGCCTCATTTTTACATTTTGCCGCAGTTGTGGATAACGTTGGTGACCATTATTTTTTTTTAAAATATTTTGCATTTACATTATTTTGATGTTGTTGTTTACTTAAACAAAGTAATGCATTTAGATGAATGAAACTTTAGCTGAATGAGAGATATATTTTGAACATTTTGAGTCAAAATATACTTGTGCACGATTTAAGGATAGATGGGATACAAACTCAGATCTCTGAACCCGTTGCATGGACTCAACAGCTTCCTCCAAATTTGGATTTCTAATTGGTGGCGTAACACCTTTAATTGAGAGAGCATTGAAACAAAACAACCATAAAACAATGGATATAAAATTGAGAATGGAAATGGGGAATGTGTCAAAGAGACAACAACCCGACCATAGAACATATGTTTTTGTTAACTGATCATTAGCCATATTGCAACATTTGTTAGGAAAAAAAGTAACATATTGCCAATAAAAACCCCGAAACCTAGATTTGTTCTATTTTTAGCTTTCTCGAGCTGAGAAAACTGAAAAATAATATTTGAATATAAAGGGATTTTGAATTGGTGGTGTGACACCTTTTAAATAGTTCTCCATTTAACAGGCGGGTTTAGACTTCAGTTGCAGCAAGTCACATTATTGTCACTGGATCGATCGACCGAAATGAGTGATAAAAGAAAATTCGTTAGATGAGAACTAATTTCAATTCATTCTGCATGCATGCCCAAACTTACGTGAACTACACCCTTTCTTTATTTTAAACTTTCCAACGATCGGCTCGTTGACTCTGGATTGTGAGGTCAAAATACCAAAAAGAAGTGTTTTTCAATACCAATGACTTGCAAAGTATAAAATACAGAATAAGTTACTATTGATATTGTTTGTATTTATTAATCTCCGAAGGGGTTTACCTTTGTCAATACAGGTACATTATTTTGATTCATATTTTACTAAAATCTCGGTCACATAGGCCATGATCAGTATTGATTTTATGTGAAAATTACTTTACAAATAAACATAACCTCGACTATGATTCATTTTATTTACACAGATAACATAGCAATTGTAATACAAATTATAGAGACATATATAAAAGTAATACTCAACATGCAAACTAAGGATATTCAATATTCTTGGATCAAAATTCATATTAGGTATAATTCATACCATGGTTGACGGCCACTTATTTACATGTTCACTTGACATTGTATCCATGTAGAAAATTGTAATGTTGTAAATTAAACCTTCTCTGTCAGTTTAAAAAAATAAATAAATAATGGTCAAAATGAAGTCATACCATTAATTAAATAAAAGAACTTGCCTAATTGTAATCTATCTATCTATCCAACACACAACTGTAGCCACTTGAAAATAGAACATGACACTTTACAAAATGTATCAAGTGTTGATTGAAATTGGTCGTTTAACATCCGTTTAGTGGCAACAACATATTTTGACTTTATGAATACTAAGTATAATTTAAAGACGCAAACCGTTATATTTGAATTAAACGAAATATTTTCCTTTTTTATACCTAACTATATTTTGGATCGCATTATGTTAATTTTGGTTTGAACTGATATTATACGGTGTTCTACATGAAATAAAGCTTACCTTGGTATACAATAACTGCATTGGTCCATATAACCAGATTATTTTCTCGTTACACTGATGTATAGATTCACAATATTTATTCCAGATCAAACAGAGAACCCTTTGTCAATACAATCTAAATCAACTGTATTATAGGCCTCTTAAAGAATTTGTGTAAGGCCATCACAATGTAAATATTTGTTTAGCAAAAACTGTTGACATAAGTGTACTCAATTACAAGTTATATCACTTGAATAAAAGATTTTTTTTTCATGGAACTCGCGAAGATTTTATATTCACAAACGAACTTTTCCGACATTCTTTCCGATTGAAATTACTTAAAATTACAGTGAGTGATTAATCTATTCTCAAAATACTCCTAACAAGTAATAACACTCTAACATTTAAACAATTATAAATTTGTAGGACCTTATTTGCTATTTGGATAACAATCAAAGGTCTTTGCAATTCATCTGCATATCAATATAATATATCTCGACAAAGGTGTTAAAATAAAATACAAGAGTAATACACAGGGATATTCATACAAAAGGGTGAGATGAACAAAAATGTCAAGTCTAGCATTTATAGAAACGAAAAATTTAATTGATTGTTGCTGCATGCCCAACCTTCAGTGGCAAATATTTCATATAGGGTTAACAAGCGTGAAATTTGGATTATCATGGAAAATTAAATTAACTACAAAAAGTTACTTTCCCCGAAAAAGAATAAAGCCCGTGCGATGCGATGCGATGCGTTTGTTGTTTTCCGTTTTGTTTAAATAATCTTGCCATTTTTGTGCGATCATTAATAACAGTCATGCATTTTGTCATAAATATTTATATTGAGTTTTTAAAAAATTTTTGCAATAGCGAAGTTTATTTCTTATGGTACGCAACATACCGCCCTTCCGGTAAATGGTCACGTATTGGCCACTGGACGTTAAACAACCAATAATCAATCAATCAATCAATGTTCACGTCTAATTGTACGCAACAATCGTTTTGAGGTGATGTACTTTTGTCTTTTGTAGACGAAAAGCGCGTCTGGCATACAAAATGATAAGCCTGTTTTTTTTATGAGTTTATTCCAAAAATCAAAAGCCTACGATAAAAGATGAAAATAATTGATTAATTGTTATTTGCTTAATAACTTCCAATAGCAAATGTGTCATGTCTTTTTAAGACGAGAAAAACATGCCAAACTCATTTCAAGAAGTATATTAACATGTTGATACCCTTCCAGAGCACCTGAGATCACCCCGAGTTTTTGGTGGGGTTCGTGTTGCTCAGTCTTTAGTTTTCTATGTTGTTTTGTGTACTGTTGTTTGTCTGTTTGTCTTTTTCTTATTTAGCCATAGCGTTGTCAGTTTATTTTCAACTTACGAGTTTGAATGTCCCTTTGGTATCCTTCACTTCTATTTTACACATGTCTGGTTGGATTTTCTGGGAAGCAAGTGCGATTTATTATCCCGTAAAGTGCCAACCCAGAAGGAAGTGAAAAATGTCACTCTACTCATTAGATAACATCAAATTTCTGATCAGAAAATGTCCTTTCTAATCATTTATTTGAGGTCAAGTCTACTATTCTCGTCACATCAGCTCAACACACCAGGTCTGTTTGTTCAATAATGTCAATTTTTAAAATCAAAGCATCAAAAGAGAGAGGGGAGATACCAAAGGGATATTCATTCATGAGTCGAAACTGACAACTCCATGGATAAAAAACCCGATCAAAATACAAACAGCAGTATACAAAACACAACATAAAAAAACTGGGGGTGATCTCAAATGCTCTGGGAGGGTAAGCAGATCCTGCTCCACGAGTGGCACTCGTCGTGTTGATCGTGCAAGTACAAACTCTGTGATAAATCTAATTTGGCGATGTCACATTCGTGGAAAGAAGGACGGGATTGTGGTTACGACATTTGGTCTATCTTCATCAACAATTGTATGGCGAACTAATATTTTATACTATTTATAAAATGTTCCTCACATCAAGATCTAGTTACCCCGTAATTGATCCTCATAAAAGTCTTGATTGCAACAATCATGTAATTCGGAAAATGACATTTTTGAGCTATCTATTGAATCTATTGCTCCAACAATACATTGTAACCAAGTGTGGTTTGAATTTAACCCGTGGTCTTCGATGATATTATTGTTTTCTATTCTTATGCATTTAATAGTGTATTATTTTTTTTATAGTATATTTTGTTCCTATTCATATTATTATTACCCAAGTGACTGCATTTTCAAACCAGTGCTCCTTAAATGACGTTTTGTTATGACTGACAATAACTAATTTGTTGATTTTTTACGATTAAAAAGGTCGATTTTACTTAATTTTGGAATGATTGTTTTGCTTTTATGCCTATGAATCTAATTTCGCACTTTAATTGGCCTTTTTTTAAGTTTTGATTCGAGTGTTACTGATGAGTCTTTTGTAGACGAAACGCGCGTCTAGCGTACAAAATTTTCGACTTATGAGTTTGATTATCCCTTAGGTATCTTTCGCCTCTCTAAAAAATAACTGAGATTCCAATGATCCTGAGTCGTTCGCCTGTACTCAGTAATTTTAGCTTTGCGTATTAATAATGTTAATCTGTATTTACCAAAGTAGCATTATTGTATGTTACATTTATACAAACACAATTGTGATGATTTTCTAAGATTGCTATATATCTACCTTATTAGGCTTTGGATTTTCAGTGTTTTATTCCATGAAATTCTATAAAAATACTAAGTATATATGTTCCGCGGTGATGACCATTCTTAATGTATCTGCAGGTCATTTGATGAAAGTTTGAAAATCATTTGTTAATGCCATTAATCCTGAATTCATAAATAAAAGATTTGAGAGCACAAAAGTCAATTGAACTTTAAGAGAATTACCATCGCCGTCTAATGTCAACTTTCCCTTGAGTAGTTTGAACCCTAATTGGATAAAATATTTACGTTAAATGAATCCCTTAATTCAATCAAATATTAAAGCACTGGCTATTGGTACCACCGGGGGCTGAGTCAACTAACAGTGCATGGTACGGACCCAGATGTAATAATGTAAATGTAAGGTACAAATATCAATGCAATCGAAATAGTCATAATCAGATTCTCTCTAATGGCCAAATATTTAAAGCGTTTGAGGACAAACAAACCAAAAGGACATTAAGGTATCTCACGCCTCTTTTTAACAGAAGCCAAACACCATATAAGGTCAATTGCCTCAGACATTTGTTACTTAGCTTAAATTTTGTACAATTATATAGTTGATAACTGATAATTACAAATTTCAGTGCACGCGACACTTGTTTCTAAATGAGTTTACATCAGATAGGTTAGAGAGCAAGTTCATTAACCGTCTGTCGTTCTATTTACATGACGACGGCAATGTTGATCGGTCAACGACATCATTGGTTAACATTTTGAAATATGCCCCCTTACAACGAGTGTACCTGAATTTGGCCTTGGCCTGTGGTTTTAGCGTTTCTGGTTTCTGTAACAAACTCTTTTTTTACAGAGTTTGGTTGTTAGCCCAACGTCCAACCTCCACTCTGTTGGTTTTTTCTCTCGGTAGTCCTTCCCGTAGATGATAGCATTACCACGCTAACGGATTGCATCTGACGGGATTTCTTTCTGGGTTGTCTCTCATAGCCTTTGACTTTCCACGGTCACTCACAAGGCAGTGGGGCTATTAACCCATAGCTGGGGGTTTGGTTTGCAGGCACCAGGGCATATCCACTCACCGGTGGGCCTAGCATGCCTTTCATCTAAGGGCCAAACCTCCTCCGAGACCTTGTGGTTCTGCCTGATGCCGTGAGGTGCCCAGTTTCCATTTGTCACCTCGGGGAGGATCCAATATCTGGGTCACATAGGTCTTACTGCATGAGAGGTTGTAACTGACAGGAAAGCGAGAGTGACAAACACAGACACTACAACACACATAAAGATGCGCATCACACAGTCATTTCAGCCTGGAGGCCTCATGCGACTTCTGGCGCGGAGAGAATTAATGTTAAGGTAAGGTGCTTTTAGATAAGTTAAATTTTAAAACGGTGTTTACGACGATGGATTCAAAGCAATAGTACTTCCTCATAATGGTTCATATAGACCGGAGGACGTAAAAGAGACAAAAACCAATAGCAACGACTATCTTGAAATAATCCATATAAAGAATTTGGCTTAAAAACCAAAATACGATTGAAACAAATTTCCTACATTTTCCCCCATTTACAACTAGTCATTATTTATGTCAATTAATAAAACTTACAGATGCTGTTTATCAAATTTATAATTAATAAATATTTATATCATTACTCCGGAAAACAGACTTGATTCACAAAACAAAAATAAAATTTTACTTGAAAAATAAAATCATTGTTTTTCTAAGTAAAAACTTGAACAATGAGGAATCAGTTACAGAGGCAAGAATATATAACACTTTTATTATCATTTTAATTTTTTGTTCATAACAATTTATTGTTGATTCCCATATTTCAAAAGAGAGGCGAAATATACCAAAGGGACATTCAAACTCGCAAGTCGAAAAAATAAACTGACAACGCCATGGCAAAAAAACAGAAAAAGAGTAACAGACAAACAACAGTTATAAAAAACTAAAGACTGAGCAACACGAACATAAACATGTCTTTCAATGACAAACTGTGTATGTGTTTCTCTTCTGTCACGTTATCCTTACTCACCCATTGCAGAAAAAAATGTTTATAAATTAGGGATGTCAACTCGGTGAACAATTACTAATCGAGTATTCGTTGGTTTTGGAAAAAATCTACAACACGGAAACACAAAAATACGTACTTTACATTATATGGTTTGTTGTTCAACGGACGAAAAACCATCTACATAAGTATCTTGGACAAGGAATTACACACCATAATTAATAGCTCATTACCTGCAAGTACTAATTAAGTAAAAATTTAATCTAATCAACATAATTTAATGAACACCTATTTAAAAATTATAACAAAGAAAAACCATTTCAAACAATAGTATTTGGTATGAATGAATGAAAGAATCTTTATTGCATTAGCAACAACATTGCTTTAGCAAAATAACAAGGTATATACATATATGACAAATGTGACAGAATACAGAGAACAATTAAATAATGCAGAGATAACTTAT